ATATATATATATATATATTCATCTTCCTTTCAACTTATATACGAAAAGAAAAATATATAAGCTATATTCAGCAGAGAAAGCAGTTTTGCAACTATTGTAAAGTTTTTTAATACATTTGATTTATACATTTAGATCCAATGAGGAACTAAGAACAAAACCAATCACAATAAAGAATCTTACAACTATTGTAAAGCTGCTTTATCTGTTAAATGCAGCCATATATTTCTCACTTTGTTCTGTTTCATTCGATATCCCTAAATTTGTGCGTCGAGAAAATTACGAGACATTTTTGAGAGGTTCGTTTTTATTTCTTCATATAGGACATCAGAGAGCGATCCATGTCGTTAGATCGTAGCGTTCAATTCCGTGTGCTCACGTTGATTGAAACGCACACGCATCCCACTGAACACGGCGTTAAATCTGGATCGAAAGCTTTGCTGAGCACTGCGTTCCATTTCCGTGCACTCCTTCGCTGACGTATTCTTCTCGTATTCGTTTCGAATTCTGTCCAAAGCTGCGATGCGAAGAGCAAGTTAAACTTCCAGTATTCTAAAACATCTTCTGAGAAGTTACATCAAGATGAAAAAGAAAGGTACCATATAAGCCAAGTTGCAGAATACTTATCCTGATGCAAAAAGACTTATCATAAAATAAATACTTCCTCTCTTATCTTCATAGGAATCCCTAGAATATGAATTAACAAACAAGCTTTTCTCCGCAGAAGTCTTTTTATCTTTTTCGTTTTTTTTTATTTAGCAAATTTTACGATATTTATTCTATCATATTTATTGCCTTTCTTCTTTTCCTCTTGATTAACTAAATCATATCGAATCTTCATAGTTATCAATCTCCGAAGAGGTAATTACGTCATTACCTTTCTGCAGATTCATCTCGTCCATTTCCGTGTTGCTGATCTTCGAGAGCTCGTTCCGAAAACTCTTGGTGATTTTCTTGCGAATGTAATCCGCCTCAATCTCCTGCTTTGTTCTGGGCACGCGGAAGCGAATGCAACAACACAACCCGACGACGATGCTTAGCAGAATGGATAGAACGATGCCGGCAAGCTGCCAGATGCGAAAACCTGGTATTGCCTCGTTCTCCAGCCACTGCATTTCCATTTCCTCCATGTCCTTCGTAGAGACTTCATTCGGCGAGCTGGAAGACACGGACAAAAATGTCGACAGCGTTGTCTCCTCCATCGCGCTGTAATGAACGTTTAAATTTCCAAAGATATTCCAAACGAGACTCCAGATATCTGATATGAGACTTGGATCTGATATGATCCTTTTATTCGGATCTTATCCAAGAAGATAGATCTTCTGTAATAATCGATTTTAATTAATTAGTGATATAAACGTTTCGTCGGCCGTCTTGCCTGACGCACATCTAATCCTCGGCAAGATACTTCTGACTGCAGGAAAAATACATGGCTATACCAAAGAGTTGGGTGTGGTTGCTTAATTGGACGACCTGTTCCGACACTCCCTATTTCACGCCACTTACTGATTACAAATCAATACTACAGGTGTGGGAGTATACTTTGTAGATTGTTAATGTCGTTTTATTATCTCTCACAATAATCGGATGTATAGTCATTATGTAGACGATAAAAATATCGAAAAAGGGAACAATTGCGCTATTATTTAACAATACTTATTCGCTCGACAATCCGCTTATCGAGTCGAAATGCAATGTGAAATTGTTAATCTATCTTTCCTTCTGATGAAATGATTTTTTTTTATTCCAGTTACTTTTGGCGATTCAAATGTTGCTCTAAAAATTTCGCGACAAAATATAAATCACAGACTTAATGGATTGAGAGTTTAAACATATTTTAACTTTTTTTTTTAAGAATATTTCGTGATTTCTAAGAGATATCATCATAACGCTAATCTGTATTCGATGTATTCGTCCAAAATAGACATAGTTCAGAATGTCGTAACATATAATAAATTGTTTGAAGTAACAACTAGTGTAATATGTAACTGAATACGAAATTCTTGAAGCGGCACCGTATTTGAACCTTAAATCACTGTAAAAATCGATAAAACGTTTTGCAACGAGCGATATTCTTCGCAGTAGCAGTAACTGTCAACCATTAGTACACAGATGCAACTCCGGCGTCTTCGAATATCCCTTTCTGGATAATCGAGACATAGTCGTATGATCCGGCACAAATTTCCGATTCTCCTTTTCCATTTTCTTCCTTATTCGTTTAACGCGGCTTTAACTACGTCTTTCCGAAATATTGGGCACTGTTCGAGAAAGGTTGAAACTCAAAGCACTTAGCTCGCTGATAGCGCACGAATCGAAGGATATCTTTGCAAGAAATCTCGTTCTTAAGACGTTTCAGACCACACTAGCCACGCAATAATCCTTTGCTCTCTTTTCTTGAAAAGTGTTAATACTTTCGCTCCTACAGCACGTTCATTCTTTCCTGATGAATGTCCGTCCCCTGAAAAAAATTATAAGTAAATTAAATAAATTATACAATAAATTTGACAATAGAATATTGTATTAAATCATAAACATATAAGAATTTTACAATTGATTTAAAAGATCTAAAAACAAAGCTAATATGAGGAATTGCAATAACGCAACGAAAAATTTACAAAAATATTAAAGAATTTATTTCAATTATTTTATCTGATAATTTTTTGAATGTTTTTAAGTAACTTAATAATTAATATAAAAAAATATATAATTAAATAATTAAATAAATAATTGTATATATAATTATGATAAAAGATTTTAAGTAATTATAAACAATAATTATTATATATATACATATATTATTATTAAATTATTTATTATGTATTTGGATTAATTTTTTATTTTTATTATAATTTATTCTGTAATGTTTTGCGAGTAAAAACTTACGTGATAGTCTTCTTCTCAGTGTTTTTGGATTGGGATCGCGCTCTATTTAATACCTTGAGAAAATCTGTTGTCTTGGTACGCATTCTCGAATGAATGTAAACTTTACTGCACTTGATATGATAGTGCAAATAATTCCTAAACATGTGTATCAGGTCGATAGTGTTGTCGCGAGCTTCTCGATTGGTATGACGTGGAAACAATACTGTAAAAATATAAAATATAAAATAAAGCGATATGAGTTTAAAGGTAATATTATATAAATCTATTGTATGTTCAACTTGAAATATTTAGAACAGTAGAAAATGTTACACAAATATACATCAGTAATATTTCTCTCAGATAATTTTTAAGATAATTCCTTAAAATTTAAAGATTTGCTAATAAAGATGCACACATATAAAATTTCTTATATATCTTTAATATAAAACATATAATTCAAATCTGAGTTCTCTAACAGATTTTTTTTTATTTTTCTTGATGCAAATAAATAAAAGAAGTAACGCGTTGACACGATTTATTGAGTGCAAACAGTATAAATATAAACTTTAAAGTTTTTTCACCGAATGTGATGTAACCAATGCAATCTCCGACTGCCGCCTCGGAATCTTGCAATTCCAACGGCGGCTCACGGTGGTTGAACAAGACTTGCGGAGCAGTGTGGCTCGCGCGCCTGCCTTCTTTCAGTTCTTGAAGAAACAGTTTACCAATTACCATGTCGTCCTCATCCTTGAATATTGTACTGAACACTACAGTGACCCTGTCGCTCTTAGCCTCCACATACCTTGATGAAAATTAATCAGAGTTAATAATAATGAAATAATTATAAAATTCACAGAAAAATATTAGACATCAAAATTTGCTTAGATCGAATGAAGGTCTCTCTTCGCTTATTTATGTTAATCATATCAATTTTCACTTATTCATTGTTAAAATAATTCATTGTTAGAAATAACAATTAAGTCATGTCACATATATAGAGATGTGTCCCTACTGAAAAAAATCATGTCACATTGCATGATGAAATTATGTCACATTGCATGATGAAATCATGTAATTAAAACACGTCAACAAATCATGTAACGGATTGTTCCAAGTCAGTATATGATTTTTTAAATTACATAATTTGAAAAGTCACATGACATGTTCTTTTTTCTTCTATTTTTATCATTCAATTCTTTAAAATTAAAAACGACTATAAAATCACATGATGAATAAAATTATTTCTAATATTATATGATTTTTCAAATTACGTCATTTAAAAAAAATCACATACTGATTTGGAACAATTCGTTACATGATTTACATGTTTTAATTACACAATTTCATCATGTAATGTTGTGACATAATTTTTTTCAATAGAGATTTCTTACATTGTTTCCTCATCTCGATATTGAATTACAGCTCTCTTCTGTACTGGCCTGCCTGGAGAATCGCAGTATTCTTCCTGGAAGTCAAAATATTTCTCGAAGACACTGGCAAAGCAATGCCTCTTCAACAGGGCAACTTTCCTCACTAACGCCTCCCAATCCTCTGGTAATTTCTCTAGATCTATGAGAACTGATACATTATAACCTGTAACAGTGATAACCAATTTCAAGCGGTTAATTATATTTGTCCAAAAGTTGGAAAATGATTAAAATCAGGAATCTAACCGCTCTCCGGTGCAATAAGATGAGCCCCATACTCTCGTTTGAGCAACTCGTCTGCGCCATGCTCTTGCAACTGTTTATAAAATTTGAGCAATATACTAATCTGCAAAAAAGGACGAATATTAGAAAATTAGTTATTTTAAAAATGAAAAATAAGTATGTCCACTTACTCTAAGCTTCGACTTGTCTCCACTGAGGTTTGAAATATGAAACAATACCCCATCAAAGTCTGCTATGACTACGTCTGTCGATTCCTGCTTATGTCTATAAACAAAAGGTTCGCTAATCATAAAACTCAATTTGATAAGATTTTAAACAGCAGATCTGGATGACCAAAGGAATAAAAGCTGAGAAAGATATGAGAACAAAATTCTAGAAACAAGATCTTCAAATAAAAAGGTGAAATAACATGAAATACAAAACACAAAGAAACATGATAGCAAAAAGAAATTTATTTTTAAATTATTTGGAAAGACGAGGCTTCACAAAGATAACACACAGATATAGATTACAAGTTAAAAAAAATACTAAAAATAAAATTCTAGAGATAACATTTTAAACAGAAAATAACGCAAAGCGAAGTTCAAAGAAGTTCATAATGGAAGAGATAATGAGAAGACAAATAAAAAAAAGTCAAAAATCTTTTAACAAAACATTTCTTATCCAAGGGATGTTTTAAAGACGTCATTCAAGAATGTCCTAAGGACGTATTCTGAACACTCCTCTAATAAAGTGTGCCACATGGATTAGAAAAACGAGGTTTCGTAAATGTAATAAATCCAGATGGGAGGATTAAAGAAGCTGAAAGAAATACTTGGAGTAAAATCCCAAAAAAGAGATCTCGAGGCGCAGGATAGATGAGATAAGATGAGATGAACGAAGCCAAGAACGAGAAGAGAACGAGGAAAGAAGGAGAATTGAAAGAGAAGAAAGTCTAGATTCGACGAATCTTTTAGGATAGGAATTTCTCGTGGAGAAACGGACGCGGCACCGCCCCGGCGCCACATCTTCCGGATTGAGGTTAGAATACGTGGTGATCGAGACGGGCACCGGGATTCCCAATAGGATCGCACGACACACAAGACGCTTACCCCGACAGAGCATTCTTGATTTTATTCGTCAACGTTTCCTCGAGTATCCTGTTGTGTATCTCGAGCAGGATCATGATTACTACGCCTGGCAGGAAGAGTCGATACGTGATACGTGGCGATAACGATAACCCCCGGATAGATCCCGCAAAACCGCGACGGATTTGTCATCCGTGCGTATGTATGTAACGCCGTTGACTAATGCCCGCTGCCCGCCCAATCCCTCGCGCTCTGTCGGTATAACAGATAGCAAATATACCGCTCGTTACTGTCGGTAAAGCAGATTTCGCACTCTCGAGATCAACCCTTATAGATTAAATTAATACTTTTATATTGAAAAAGAATATAATTATTAATTACTTATTTTAAGTACTAAAAGTTTACACTATTGTTTAGAGTTTAATAAATTAATAAAAATTAAAAAATTAAAAAATTAATTATTATCTTCCAGAAAGAAATCCCCCTGATTTTATTGGAATCATGTTAAAACAATTTTTTTTTTAATTCAATTCAAAACATTTTAATTGTAAACAGTACTTTTAATATTCAAAATAAGTGATTAATAGGTTAATACTAAAATTATATTTCTATAAAAGTAGTTATTTTTTTTATAAACTTACAGCACAAAATTGCAGTATCTGCACTGCTGCAATATTGCAGAGATTTTGTAGCGATATTGCTAAATTTTGTGCCGTGTGAGAAGTATCTCTCCTATTGTTGCGATTATCTAAAAAAAAAGCTAGAGGTTGTTTCTTGTTATCGAATTAATTAGACGCTGATTAGATTTTTATAATTTCTTTATTGCAAAATTATTACAAAATTTTCTATTTTTTGAAATTCTCAAAAATACTTTTAGAACAAAAATAAAACAAAAGAGTTTATTTAGTAAAAAGTCGGAAATAAAAAAAATTCTTTGTATTATCCGAGTTTACGTAACAAAAAATTAAAATGTAAAAAAAATTTTTCTATTTTTGGAGGCTCTCAAAAATACTTTTAAAATAAAAATAAAACAAAACATAAGAATTTATTTAGTAAAAAGTCGGAAATAAAAAAAAAAATTCTTTGTACTATCCGAGTTTACGTAACAAAAAATTAAAATATAAAAGAAGTATATTAGATCAGTGCAAAATTCGTGCCCGATTTGTAAATAAAAGTGAAGCAGTTGTTATTGTAAAAAAACCACCTTTATTGATCAATGTATTCGCTACCATTTTCGACAATCATTCTCCAACGTTCAACTAATTTATGGATATAATGTTTGAAAAAAATGCGTGGTTTGGCGTCAAAGATTGCGGTGAAATGATTTTTGACAGCCTCCACAGAATCGAAATTCTTGCCAATTAAATCGTTTTGTAATGACTAAAACAAATAAAAATCGGAGGATGCGATATCCGCAGAATATGATGCATGCAATAAAATTTCATTTCAACTGTTTCATTTTGTCCAAATCATTTTCAAAGAGTATGGTTTGGCGTTGTCATGATGGAAGATGACACCTCTATGAACTAAGGTCGGGCGTTTTTTTTTATTAATGCATCCACTTTGGTTAGTTGTTGGCAGTACTTTTTTTAATCAACTGTTTAGCCAACAGAAAACAGCTCAAAATATATAATATCTTGGTAATCTCATCAAACGTACAGTAAGATCTTCTCCAGATGCACTCGGCTTTAGCAATTAAATTTGCCGGTTCATTTGCTTCCTTCCAAGTACTTGCATTTGACGTTGGTATACAAGACCCATTTTTCGTCGCCAGCCAAAAGGATCTCTTTTTCCAGGCGCCTGAGCATAGAAATGGCTACGGAAATGCGATCTAATTTGTTTTTTTTTTTCAGACAACGAATGCGGTATCCAAGCGTTGAGCTTCTGAATGAGTCCCATCTTCCTTAAACTCCGACACGGTTGATCGATCGATGTTCAGAGCTTCAGCAACCTCTTCCGTGCATTGTTTACTATTAATGCGCGTAGAACTATGACGGCATCGATGACGAAAGGAGGAGATTCATCTTCGAGATTAAAATCACCACGACGAAATCTAGCAAACTACTTCTTCACCGTTCGAAAGGCTGGTGGGACTGGTGCATCAGCCAAATAAACCTCCTGAATATTTTTTACCATATTGTTAATGGTTGTTCCTTTCCGAAACTCATAAAGCATCACATGTCAAAGATGCAATTTCTCTTTGTCCATCTTCAATGATTTTTTATGACAACTTAAATTCAACCAAGATTCTATTATCTCGTCAGTGATTTGGTTGAATTTAATTAATGACTAAACACTTCTGATGTTCAAATGACACTTATGACTGTTATCTTTCCAACAATATATAATATGCATACATAAACAACAACAGAGTCGCCATGCTACTTCACCAGTTCCTTCTATACGAATTGAACACAAACTTTGCACTGATCTAATATACAGGGTGTCCTATAATGATTAATTAATATTTCAAGGAGTGAACGAAGATGTAATTTTGAACTAAAAGTTCCTTTGCCTCATTTCCTTTACACTAAATTTTGATTCAGACCATATTTATTTATCATCTATTTATTGATTTATTGATTTATTTATTTGTTAATATACAAAATTAGAATAAAGTTTCAATCGGGATAATACATAGCAAGCGCGAGGAGTTCCATGGCACACTACGTTCCTGCGTATTCCAGCCGCATGCTATCTGATTGATCAACTTTAATCGTTAATAACTCGATAAGTCTGAGCCAAAATTGGTAAAGGAACTTTTAGTTCAAAATTTCATCCTCGTTCACTCCCTGAAATATTAACCCTTATCGTACAAGTATAGGTCACTATCCAGCTAGCCAAGCGAGATTTAGCATATGGAACAAATTGATGCACGTATTGTTTTCTTTTCTTGTCGACAATTTGCTGTCATTGGAATCTAATGTGAACTGAATTAGCATTAGGAGGGCAAATAGATTTCATGAGTTTACGAAATTGTAAGAGTATACATTGAAAAATAATAAACTCGTCACGTTGACAGCAAACTAATGCCATATGACAATAATTTGCCTGCTGAATTCTAAGGAAGACTTTATCAGAACAATAGACAGTTTGTAGAAACATCTTGGCTTTAGTTTAGTGAAATTGAATGCGGATTAAGTGACAACAAAATGGCAACAAAATGGCAACATATTGCCCTTATTTGGTTATTTGGATAGTAATCGAATGTAGTCCTGTTCATGCAAGTTTCTTTAGTCTTTCGGTAATTATAAATTAAATATACTACATTTTATTATTTTTCAAAATAAAGTTCCAATATTTAGTTTAGAAAGTTGAAAGTATATTGATGAATTTTTAGAGATTTTTAAAATCATTTTGAAAAGGTAAAAAAAGCGGACGGATCTAATAATAATGACCTATACTTGTATGGATGAGGCACTAAATTATATTTTGTATGGGTTAATTAATCGTTATGGAACACCCTGTGTACAATTGTAAATATAAGTAAATAATAAAAAATTATAATCATTAAGTAAAATATTAAAAATATCTAATTATTAATATTTTGTAATAAAGATTCAGATTTATAAAAAAAAAATCAATCTGCGCGCGTACTTATATTATTTTAAAAAGTTTAAATTATTTTGGTGGAAAAATTTTACGAAAAACTAGACACAGATTGAGATTTGAGACAAGATCTTAGAAATATAATGTAATATTGAATGTCATTGTTTGAGGGCGAAGGATTTCTTGGTTTTTCAAATAAACAATGCCACTTTACATTCCATTACAAATATCTGTGAAAAACTAAGAATTTCTAAGACAAACAAACCTCACTCTACATTCTACTACAAATATCTAAGAAAAATTAAGAATTTCTAAAATCTTGTCTATCTATCTATTGCCAATCTATGTATTATAGTTTTTCTGTACTTTTTTAATAAACATTTTTTTTCCGCCAGAGTAATAAGTGAGATATTGTTTATTAATTAAATCTTGTTAATTTACTCTGGAGTTATTGTATAATTTACGTTGTATAATTCCAATAATGCTGTTTTAGCTATTTTTATTTTTGCATCCTTTTTGCTTGCAGCTGGAAAATAAAAATGGTTATTTATTATTATATATATAATAATTTCAAAATATTTTATTTAATTCGTAGAATATATATGTACCTATTCCTGAAAATTCCATTCCATTAATTTTAGTAGTCATAGTAAATATCTCATGTGGTACTTTACCAATACGATTCACAACATATTTTAGATTAGGTTGCATATGACTCAGTAATTGAACTGGAGGTATGCTTGTAGGATTATAGAGCGGAAGTCTTTTGACTGTCTCTTGACAAACTTCGTTCTGAGTTCCAATATTTCCAACAATAGGATTCGATGTTCTTTCATTATTCCAATCAAGTATAAGTTTATAAAGTGCAAAATTGGCCAATGAACGCCATAAAATCGCATTTTTAGCATTTGTGAGTATGGCGTTTTGTGCGTCAATCTTTTCTTTGTTTTTATCCACAGATGAATTAGCAGCTTGTGTATTGGATTGACTATATGTACATGTTTCAGATTTTACTGCCATTTTTTCAAAAAAAAAATCTTTTAATACCTTTTCAGCTACATCTTGACGAGCAAGTGATTTAGATAGTCCTTTTCCATGGTAATGTTTACCATTAAACTGTAAATAAATATTAAAGCATTATTGGCTGATTTACATCTATCCTTAAATATTATTAAAGCATTTTAAAGATGAGATGACATGCAGCATAATATTACAAATAATATCTCTCTAATATTGTAAATATCTCTCTAATATTGTAAGAATTATATAATATTGTAAGAATTATAAATTATTAATTAAAATAATTACCTCAACATGAGCGATAAAAGACGATTTTGTAGGCATCTTCAATTCTATTGTTTCAGGATATACATTTGAACTTTTAGCTGTTATTGTACATAATATCACGTATGCATTTTTGGGTTGTAGAGGTTTCTTTAGTTTTATTTCTAGACGACGTAATCTGTTACAAATGACTTTAACAAAAAAATCGTCACATCAGTAATATACATATTACATAAACAATTACAATTATTTTATATATCAATAAAAAAATTGATTGACAGGAGAGGTCTCGAACTGTGAATATTCAATGTTCTTAAATTTTCAAATATATGCAGTGAAATATCATCTTCAAAAGGAAAAAATTTAATTTCATATTACGAATATTGTTACAATTCTCTTTTTTTATGTCTTTTTTCATAAATTCTTTAATTTATTTATTCTTATATATAGTATTCTCATATATAGTATATAAATAATTACACTTCACAAGATTTTTAAACATATGATTAAAGATGTATGTGCAATAATATTTAAAAAATTATGAAAATCTATGAAACTGTGTATGTGTATTAATTACTTATATTAATTATTTAGAACATTAGAATATGTACAGGAGGATTACATATCTCTATTATATACTCTTATTATTTAAATTGTCTTAAATACTTAAATTATGATTCTAGAGATTAAAAAGAGATTAAAAAGATATAATATATTTGTATAATCTTTAATTTAGAAATACTTACAATTATATTCCTTTTTTCGCAATTTTAATTGAGCTTCTTCAAAGTCAATGTCTATGTTCGCAGGATTCATATTAGAACTGTTATTAGTTACATTTGGAGCAAGTATTGGAGGAGACATACAAAGCTGAGAACTTATCGGTGTAATTTGTTCAATCATTGCTTGCGTACTTGGATTTAAAATTGAATTTAACTGCTTTAAAGCCGAGTCCAATTGCTTTAAGATTAATTTCGATTGCGGCAATAATTGTTGCGCATCTTGCGAGTTAACATCTATGTTCTCAAGATCATTTCCATTATAATTATCATTCGTATCAGAATAGCTATCCGCATTAGAATCATTATTAGTTGAGCTTGGAGCAAATATTGCAGGAGGCATATAAAGCTGAGAAGTTGTCGGTGTAATTTGTTCAACAGTTGATTGCGTATTTACTGTACTTAAGATCGAATTCAATTGTTTTAAAATCAAGTTCAATTGCTTTAAGATTAACTTCAATTGTGGCAATGATTGTTGCGCATTTTGTGAGTTAACATCCTTCTGAAGATTTATATTTCCACCATAATTAACATCTGTATCCGACTTCAATTGTTGCGACAATGGAAGTGAATTTGACATTTGTTGCTGCTGTGCTTGTATGATCTGTTGGTTTATTTGTTTACTGTATTGCATAGTCTTTTCTACGATCTGTACGTTTATTTGTTCTTGCGATGGTTGGATATCTTGCAACACAAGTTCGGTATCTGATATGATTTCAAAACTTCCATTATCAGAATTATCATCCGTATCAAAATCATTACTAGCTGAGCTTGGAACAGATACTGCAGAAGGCGTACAAATTATCGGTGTAGTTTGCTCAACAGCCGGCAGTGTAGTCGCTGTACTTGACTCCAGTTGTTGCAGCAATGAAGGTGAATTTGATCGACTTAACAGTTGATTTACTTGTTGTACAATCTGATTCATCGATTGATTTAGTGCTTGTTCCGAACATGTTCTCAGTAATTGCTGCTCCATAGTTGTAGTTTTCGTTACTGTTGTAAATGCAACTGTTCTTGCTGCTGCTCTTGTTACTGCTGTAACAATTGTTTTAAAGTTATTTTAGTTACTGTGTGTATGCTGTATATTATAGTTATAATACAGAATCATGTTAATATAGCTGCTAACATCTACGTTTGATTTTATTATCCTTGTAAGTTCTTACATTGTTTCATTCACAATTATTTTATTGAATCGACGTAGATTGCGATGCTTGATGACTTCTTTATTGTATATGTACGTGTATTATATTGTAAAACAGTTAAGAATAGGATCATACAATTCTTCTGGATAATTCTTAATAGATTTTCTTATTTTTTAATATCATAATAAACATCCTTAAAAATAAAAAGTTTTATAATTATTCGCGATCTTGTTATAAACACTTATATGCGAGCTGATTTGTAAAATTTTAAAGTTAATTTGTCATGCGTTAAATACTTTGATACGTTTCTCTATCTATAACGATAATTCTTTATCTTTATCAGTTTGTGACTTGATGGATGAGCTATACTTTTGTATCTAAATTGTTGAGGAGAAGCTTCAACTCCAAAGAGAGTTGAAACGTTCAAATAAAGAAGATCATTCTAATTATAGAATAAAATTATTCCATAATAATTTGCATCGTTTAGCCGCTGATTCTCATGTTAACCTACTTTTACTTATTTGTA